GTAAATAAATCACTAAACTTAATATTATATATCTATTACCAGGGAATAATAGTTACAATTACTCTTAATACAAGTACTTAATAAAGTAATAAAACCTGTCGTATTATCTCTGTCTTTACTCCTTTTCACAGAGCGTTCATGGCATCCAATAACAGATATCGGCTTGCTGAGGTAGACAGTAATAAACAACGGGAGGCCTTAAATGTTTATAGTGGAAGTATAGAAAACAACTATCCTGAAGTTAGCTTTCTAGTCTTAAGTTAGTTATAAAACGGTGCCCGAACACGACATGAGAAGAAGAATATTATTATTTCTATCTTCATAGTCGAATGGTACTAAATCTGTCAGAATTATTTAGAAGCAGGACTATAATAACGATTTTTGATGCCGGCGTTGCTAGAAGAGTACTTACTGAGTTGTGTGTTGTTAGAACTCTTAAAAATTAGCAGAGTAAACAAGTAACAAAGTATAAAATAACGCACACATAATAACGCTCACACTCAACATAGCCCCGCACTAGGATGACCCTGTGTCGCGAGTGTCATGGACACACACATAGACAATCACAAATTATACCCAAACTCACGAGAGAAATAAATGTAGGCCATACAAATATTTCTCCCAGCCCGGGAATCGAACCTGGAACCTCTGCTTGGCAGTCCGGTATGGTAACCGTTCGGCCACAGAGGCAGTAAGAAAGTATAAAATGCACGAAAGTTAGTCTTGCAAGTCACGTCACTAATTTGTTATGAAATCACCATGAATAAAACCACTGAAGAAATCTCCAGGACATTACTACCTGAAGTTTCTGAACCTGAACTTGCAGAACTTGAAGTGAAAAAACTTCAAGCGCTGGATGTACTATGGAATTGGAATAATGGCGGCGCGATATAAATTATCGAAGAGAAATTTCGGCGACTGATAGTTTTTAGTACAGATAATGTTGTCTTCACTGAATTGAGAAGCAATATCACGACTGAGAAACTAGACCAAGAATCGACTTGAACAGTCGTATACTTTAACAACATATAACACAAACATATAGCATAGTACGACGCACTATTGGAGTAATCGTCTGCACTGTGAGTAAATATTATTTATTATTAGGTGATGACGTATTTATGTCTGGCTCTTAGATTTGAGTACCTAAGTATTATCATAAATTAATAAAAATACTAAAAAGTCTAAATACTAAAAAGACTATAAAGTCGTTGAAAGACCAAGTACAAAGACACGACGCAAGCACATAGAAAAATTCGTGAGGTCCGTTGGTTCGTTCCGTGGCTTAGTTGGTATAGCGTCTGCCACGGTATGCAAGAAGACGTCGGTTCGAATCCGACCGGATCGAAGGAATTTTTTCTGAGTGTTTTTTCTAAGTGTTCGATCTTTGTAATAATAATTATAACAAACTAGTGGAGTAATTTCACAAAAAATAATTGAATATCAATTCAATAAAAAATTTAATTAATAAAAATAATTAATAAAAAGGAATTATTATAAATATTTCCCATAACTAAATAGTTCTTGTGACGTCATGGTGGATACCATCCACATAAAATGTGGATGGACGCTTAGAGATGAGTTTTTACCCGATAAATATCCGTCAAGGGATAAATATCCAATAAATCAGATACTGTATACAGGTACAGTACTATAGCAGTGTGTGCTACTCACATTGTGTCTGGTCATATAGATGTTATACCAAAAGTTATTTTGAAATGTTTCATAACGACGCCAGAAAATTTTGAAGCAAACTCCTAGATGCATCAAAATTCATGGCCCCCTGCGATGTTTGCGTAAAAGGTGAATATAAAATCATGCAAAACATTTGTGGGCTTCGAATGACTTGTAGTAACTGGTTGATGGCTATTTATGAGTCTTATGTGCGCCCATTGAAGGATTTTAGTTAGGTATACAAACGCAACGTGGAGGTAACAACAATGAAATCGTACATTACAAAGTAACAAAAATGCGATATTTCTGCACTGAGTTTTTGACACCAAAGCACAAGACGCTTATTCGGTACTTTAATATGATTTTAAACAGACATCAAGGAAAAGGAGGAGGTACCCAATTCGACTGTATATATACATATATGTTAACCGACTTCAAAAAAGGAGGAGGTCCTCAATTTGACTGTATGTTTTTTTTGTATGTTTGTTACGCGATAACTCAGGTATTTGTGAACCAATTTTCATGATTCTTTTTTTATTGGAAAGAGGGTACCTCCATAGTGGTCTTATTTAATTTTGAAGAAAATCATCCACCCCTAAAAGTAGCTGTTCAAAACTAAATTAAAATAAGTGCGTTTTGGTTCATATTGTCATGATTATTTGCAATTTCATTTACTGTTTGTGAATCAAATTCGATTTTGAAATAAGCATGGAAGTACCGCGAAGTCTAGAGACATCTAGCGGAATTTAGGAAATTATTTTTACCCAAATCTAGCGGAAAATCTCTGACCATCTAGGGACTTTCAATTATGTATAACGGCAACACTGCACATAGCACGTCGAAATTAGACGTGTGTCGATCGATCAATTCTGATAACACGGGTCTGTCATGATCCACGACAAAGGAAATCGGGTTAAATGATTCGATCATATGATCGATCTTTTAGCGGGTTACGGTCCGGCCGGTCTTATTATTATTTTTTACTCGCTAGGTGTAAGGAAACATTATTTATAAGTTTAGTTTCTATTCTCAATTCGTAGAAACCATCTTATTTTCTGAGTTTAGTACTTACTTAGGTACTGAAATCTAAGGGTCGTATTCTAGAACTCTAGTCAATGCTCAAGTCAGGACTTGAGAATGATTCAAAGCACTAGAAATCATACTCAAGTGCTTGCCATTAAGGTCGTACTTCCAGTGCTTGAAATCATACTCAAGTCTGCTCAAATCCTGACTTGAGCATTGAGTAGAGTTCTAGAATACGACCCTAAGAGTCGGACATAAATACGTCATCACCTAATAATAAACAATATTTACTCACCGTGCAGACGATTACCCAAATAGTGTGTCGTACTGTGTATACCCTTACAGCAAGCTGTATACTGTTGGTAGTTTTCTTAAAATTCAAAATAAATGACCTAACGCAGCGTTAAGTAATTTATTTTCATTTAATGTCAATAATTTGATTTTAAAATTAGGACAATAAAGCCACGGAAACTGAAGTAGGTGTTTACAAATACTCATCACAACATTAATAAATATGAAACATAATAAAATATATTTAATAAAACAATGAATCATTGTCTTTTCAGAAACTTTTTCCAAATACCAATACAGCTTTTTAACGCAGACTAGAGTTAGAAGGAAATTTGTGGTTTATTACACTTAAAAATATTAATCACAACACAGGAACAACAAACAAACTAAACAAACTTACAAAATTACCATGTAACGTACGAGATAAATAGGATAGGATGATTGATTGAAAGACCCGTTGATCCGTTTACTGGTTAACCAGTAGTGATTGGTATTCAACTAATCACTTATGCTCTTCATTTGGAACGAATTTTCCATGAAACGAATGATCCTTAGGACTGATAACAGAGTGAGAAGGCTGGAGTGTGAAGTCTTTACGTGAGAATGAACGAGACAGCAATAATATTGTCAGTTCCAGACTTATTGTTATGTGAATTGTTGAATAATCTCAATTATTTTAATAATAAAGTCGAATATTGCCCGCATGACCCGTGAAACTCTAAAATGATCAGGTTATTTATGAGCTTGTAACTCGGGTTATCGGGTCACACGTACTGTTCGAATCATTTTGATTGGGTCGATCACGATCGATGCACGCCTAGTTCGAATTATTTTTGTTGGGTGGATCACGATTGACTCACGCCTAGTTGACATTCAGTTGTGTATAAGCCGCTGACTTCTTTACACGTATTATTATTTATCAATATTATATACGTACTAAAATGCCTTTAATAAGTCAGTATATTTAATTCAAAATATACGATTGTTAATAATCCTGTACAAATTAATCAATCGTTGTTCAGACTGCTTTGAATCTAAATTTCCCCCCAACCAAGTCCGGGTTTCTGATTTACCTTGAACTAAAGGTTTTTACTTTGTTGTTTTTCCTTATTTTACGAGCCGAGATGTCTTCGAGCCTGTGTTTAATTCTTTTTATTGGTAAGTATGTGCTGTATTATGCGGTTTTAACTTATGGGTTTTAGAGTTAACGTCATAGTATCTATGTTATAACTTGTACGTAGATTTAGGACGAGGGTATCGTGTGTTTTAAGTGTATACAGGTTATTCTATACAAGTTCTATTAGAATTTTGAATGTTTGTTAGATGATTGTTTATTTTAGTGACGGCCTCTGGATTGTACATAATGACCGCCGGCTATCTGAGGTCGACAATAACATTAACGCGTTTCGTACCGAACACTTATTTACGCTTTATATGTTATGTTTGTTCACATATCTGTCCACCAGAATATAATAGAGATTTATTACGTAACGCACTTTGTCGTCACGTCACGTCCTACTTATAAAAAAGACGGTAACCGAAGAATTAAAAATTTTCAACTGTGGCCATGTAAATTTTGATGTCCTTTACTTAGGAAGAAAAAATATGTGATTTATTTGTAAGTAGGTTGTGCCTATAAATATAATGTCATATCGAATATGTGAAATGACAAATTAACATGCAAATTAACATGTATTTTTTTGCAGTTCCTTTGGCGTTATCAGCGAACAATTCTATAGATTCTGCAACACTGCAAAACGTGTTTGGGAACCCCCCTCCAGCAGGACCGGCATTAGCTGTTACTCCCAGCAATGGCACCTTGGTCGACCCTGATTATTGGGATTCAGATGATAACTACATGCCTAAATTCGACTTTATGTTGACTAAGGTAAATTAGTATCATTGTAACTTTTCGCACTCCTCTGAGCCGGGAATTGGTGTCCCAGCGTTAATTTTTTATAACGAAATGTTATATAAAAATGACATGTTCTAAACTTCGATCATGTTATACTGGTATATATCGTATATATAGTATATATGATCGAAGGTTCTAAGGTACAAAGTAGTATTGCGGTTACTAACTTTTTGGCGATACGTATAAGTACGTATAAGGGTGCTGGTGAAATTACAGGCACATGGGCTTATCAATTTATGTTTCAGCCCCCTCAGATATTTGCGATTTAAAGCACTGAGCGGGACTGCGACTGTTACGGACAGGCATTTTTACAACTGTTATTTCAATATAGCACGAGAATACTCTGATGAATATCAAAATGTTTTCAAATTACATTTTGCAATTTGTAGGAACCACTAAAATAATAAATATGACAACCGCTACGAGAGACGTGTAGGCATTGACACTTTAACACTGTTACGTTATTATTGTTATTTTGGTTATTTATTTCGTATTCTATATGTTGGTATTTTAAATCTGATAGGTATTTCTCGCACAATTGATCGAGGTCAAGGACTTAAGTTCAAAAACCAGCGCTCGATGCGAGCAATGCCTTAAAGTACCAATGTGGATCGTTTTGTCCTATGGCTTTTTAACCGAATTAGCCGCTCACGCGATACATGCAGCCGTAGATGCATATCACACCTAGAGGTGCCGGTGATGATATTATACCGATTTATCGGATTTATCGGGTCGGGCTCGGCCTGCGGCGCGTGGTCGGTTTCAGATTACGGGGTGTGCTTATGCTCGTCGGCGGCACAGTCATTAGTACCATGTGCGCTTAATGAGGAGGTTCCAGATTCGATCCCTTATTTGAGCGAATTTATGAAAAAAACATTTTAAGTTGGTTCTGGTCAGGGTATTCTGAACATTGCCCTTAGAATTATCGTTACTGTGGTACTCATAGAGTCGTATTCTAGAACTCTACTCAATGCCCAAGTCAGGATTTGAATATGGTTTAAAGCACTCGAAATCATACTCAAGTCCCTGCCATTAGGGTCGCATTTCCAGTGCTTGAAATCATCAGATCCTGACTTGAGAATTGAGTAGAGTTCTGGAATACGATCCATAGTATAGGAAATATTTGTATTGCAAAAACGAGCGATTCGTTCTGTGTACTGTCTAGGCTCTCGGGTATCTCTCAGAGAAAAGTTTAAGGAGACTGGTATCATGACTGTGGCATCACAGTACATTTACTCAAATATTTTATATGCCCGTAAAAATATACATAATTTCAATAAGAAAGAAGATATCCATAATATTAACCTTAGAGCTAAGTCCAAACTCATGGTACCACGATTTCGTTTAACCAAGGCAAACAACTCTTTTATGGGGAACTGTATAAGTTTTTACAATAAGATTCCGGAGCATATATTAAGTTTATCATTTCCTAAGTTTAAAAACTACATTAAAAATATTTTGATCGAAAAATCATATTACAAAATTGAAGACTACGTGTTAGATAAAGATGTATGGAAAGACGACATGGCTCTAGAATCCACACAAATTTGATTCAAAGTGTATTCCATAGCATTTAAGTTTATTTGAAAAGAGCAATCCCTAAAGTTTCTTGCTCGTTCTTCTCAGGGAGGTCAGCGTAGTGAACGAGCAGTAGCTTAAGCTTAAATGTGACGTTTTCAAGTGTAAATATATTTTACCTATGGAATAAATAATCTTTGACTTTGATACAACGCTATAAGTATCTTATTTCCATTACATCAGGAAGTATGCCTTAAATATTGAAAAATTGTGGAATCTTGTACTCGTAATTTAGTCTTCGTATACTACCTACGTGAGGTGGCGTGCGCACGCTTCGGGCTTCGCCCTCCGCTAGACCTCGGCCTATGGCCTCGGCACTTATGACTTTAAAAGAATTAACGTAATGGCGGCCGTATTGACAAATAGCAAAAAGTAAATTTTGACTGCAAATTATTATAAAACAGCCATAATCTCTATATGGGGATCTCCCCTACATGCCGATTTTCAGCTGAATTAGAGCAAATCTATCTATCTGCCGCCAAAAAGTTTCTATGGCACCCATATTGAAAAATAGCGAAAATAAATTTTGACCGCAAATTATTATTAAACACCCATAGATACCCCACATGTCGATTTTCAATCGAATTAGAGCAAATTTTCATCTGCCGGCAAAAAACACTTGTGTGGCGGCCATATCTGAAAATGGCGAAAAACCAATTTCGAGCACAAATTATTATCTGGCACTTCTTGATACTTCCACATGTCAATTTTTAGCTGAAACAGAGCGAGTCTCTTTCAGCAACTATTTTTATTATTAAAAAATTAATTAATTATTAAAAAATGACGAAAAAAAACTTTTGACCCCAAATTATGATGAAGGACTCCTAAAGAGTACGGCTGAAAATTGGCATGCGCCCCCGCATTGGCTACAGCCGCATCGAAGCAAGTTTTTCTTGGGCCGCCATTTTGAAATCGCCATCTTGAATTTTTTTAACCCAGGCAGTTGACCAGTGTTAGCCTCTATGATATTCTCTATCTTTGTTTGACTTTGAGTGGGAGTGGCGGCCATTTTGTTTTGCGAATTTTTGAATTTTTGTTAATCCCTGTAGAAACTGCCCAGGGTGTGGAGCAACATTTGTTTGGAGACCTTACGGCTAAGACGTATACTTCGCCTGTGCAGCTAGGGTCCTACCTGATGCTGGGCACTTTTCGAAGGTTTTGGTACTTTTTGATACTCACCAAATCCACCCAACCATTATTCGCACACATCAATCTTACACACCCGCGTTTCTTCTAAGAGAAATGTGCTGGTCAGAAAACCCGTAAATACACTTGTATGGCGGCCATCTTGGAAAATGGCGGAATTAAAATTTCGTTCACAGATACATACTATGAACCTCTATACACGGTTGGATGTTAAATTTCAGTCGGATCGGAGAACTTTTACTTCGTGCCGCCATTTTGAGTGCTGCATCATGAAAATTTTTTTACCTGCAGTTGGCTCAAACTATTCTGTATGACATTTGTTTGAGCGTCTCTCATCTATCTCCAACACTCGCCGAGATGTAGGCCTCGGAACATAGTGGACTGTGGAAAATGTATGGTGGCCATATTGGAAAATGGCGGAATCTAGAATTTGACCGCAAATTCGTATTACAGTCTCCCAAACATAGAAGGCTATAAAATTTCAGCCGGACCGGAGCACCTTTTTGGCCCAGGCCGCCATCTTGAATCGCCATCTCGAATTTTGAAAAAATAATTTCCTATCTCCAACAGTTTCCGAGATACCGGCCGCCGAAATTTATGGCGGTCATTTTGTTTTCCGAATTTTGAATTTTTTCACTTGCCGTAGAAACTGCCCAAGGTGTGAATAATCATTTGTTTGGAGATTTTGAGCCAAGACGTAAACTTTGGCCGGGCAGTTACCTTCTGATACTCATCAAACCTGTCCGCTCATAACTCCCATACTTCTGGGAGAAAAACGACGCCAAAGGGTAGAAAATTGATATGTATGACGGCCATCTTGGAAAATGACGAAATGAAAATTTCGACCGCATATTTGAATTATGAGCACACACGGCCGGATGCCAAATTTGAGCCGGGTCGGACCACTTTTTTTGGGACCCCATTTTGACGCGGCCATTTCGAAAATTTTTTGTCACCTACAGTTGGCCCCCGCCGCCCTCTATGACATTTGGTCGAGGACCCCCCGCCCATCTACGATACTCGCCGAGCTATAAGGCTCTGAAATTTGTATGGCGGCCATCTTGTTTCTTCGAATTTCAAATTTTTATCACTTCCGGTAGAAACTGCCCAGTGTGGCGGCCATTTCTAGTTTGAGGACCTTGCCGGTAGGTAACTGCCCGCCTAAAATGTTTATACATTGGCCGCGCAGCTAGGGTCCCACCTGATGGAGTCCATTTTCGAAGGTTTCGGATTTTTCTGGTACTCACCGGAGCCATCCGATCACGACTCCCGTACATCATTTTTACCCACCGCGACTCCGTCTGGGACAACAATCATCTAAATCACTGTCAGTCAGGAAGTCAGTGGTAATCGAGCTATATAGAGTATAATAACTATATATAATATAATAATAATATGATCCAAGGTTTTTGGCGATACGTATTTGTAGCTCACCTATGTTAATAATCTGGTATTTCCGTATTACACCATACACAGTAGTTAAATACTAGTGGATATAGGTCGCATGAAGGCTGTCCCACGCCCACAGTTACGCGACAAATACTGTAGATAGGATATTTTGCTTCATGGAGGCATTATTTTATTTATAAAAGTAAGTAATGCCGCATTTAAAGATTTTCAAAGTCTGGCTTGCCCTACCTGTTACCCCGTTAACAATCTAGGTTTTATGTTCATTACAGCAATAGGCTAGCACGATAAAGCGCGACTGGCGCGAGTGCGACTTAAAACGCGAGTTAATGCTATACTCCCATAGATAATAGCAATATGTCGCGCTTCTATGTCTCTCTCACGCAAGTCGCGCCGTAGCATGCTAGCCCCGCTGATGCATATTTATTCAGAGCTCTTTTTAGCTCGTACTTTCGTTTGTAACTACATGGACTAATAACAGGTAAGGTGTGTATGTTTATTGCAGCGTTTAGCCTCGAGCTCTAGCGAGAACTTTCTCCTGTCCCCACTGGGCTTAAAGCTGGCGTTGGCTATCCTCACCGAGGCGGCTACGAGTACCACGCAGACGGAGCTGTCCTCCGTACTCGGCTTCGACCTTGATAGACTCGTCGTGAGGAGGAAATTTGCTATTATCATTGACTCTTTGACGGTATGTATACACAAAACTTTATTCAGAATTTTGGTCCTTACGACAATTTCATAGTATCTATTCAAATTGCAGTTTACTTAGTTTCCAGTGAGCGTTTCTATTAACTGGCTTAACCTATAGGTGTGTGTACCTAATATTAGTTTAACGAGCTAAGGAAAATCTGCTAAGCAAATTAACGCTATTCAGAGAAACTTGTTTCCATACTTACGAGGAAAACACATTTTACCTACGGTGATTTACCTTGGATTCAGTTTGGATGGGCAGCGTTTGGGAAGCTACGTCGAGTCTTTTCGTCACCTATACTACAAAGTCTGAAAACAAAGGTTTTCAACCAGTGCATCCTGCCTGTTATGATTTACGGAGCCGAGACGTGGACACTCACGATACGGCTAGTCCACCAATTTAAAGTCGCTCAGCAACCTATGGAACGGGCTATGCTTGTAGTTTCTCTGAAGTAAAATTCGTAATGAGGTTATCCGACAGAGAACTAAGGTCACCGACATTACTCGTGCAATAAGCAAGCTGAAGTGGCAGTGGGCTGGCCATATCTGTCGAAGAACCGATAACCGATAGGGCAAACGAATTCTAGAGTGGAGACCGCGACTCGGCAAACGTAGTGTAGGACACCCTCCAACCAGGTGGAGTGACGACCTGCGAAAGATTTCTGGCGAAATGGCGCACATTGGGAGAGGCCTATGTCCAGCAGTGGACTGCGATAGGCTGATGATGACTGTGATTTACCGCCTTGTTTTTGTAAATTATATAGACTTTTTAAATCGAAATTAAAACAGAGTTGGTTAGTAAGTAAGAACATATTGTGTTGTTTACAAGAGAGCGAAGCCGTGAGGAAAAATATGTTTCCGTGTTTATAATGTGTCAATTAAAATGTCGATTGTAAAAGAGTAATACTGTCTCCACAACTACACTTGGTAACCAAATAACCGTGTCACCACTAGAAAAATATTCAGCATCAAATGACGAAACGACCAGCGCGGTAGGTTGATTCATGTCCTAAGCACATTTAATTAACTTTGATGTCTACAAATCCACCTAAATTAGATACGATGAAAATTTATTTAGTAGGTTTTTTTTCTCTTAAAAAGAGTCCTAACTGTACGTAGCAGTGACAAGAGGATGAAATGATAAAGTACATTGCTACTTTTAAAGATATGACCAGCCAGTGTCAGCGATGTTGGTTAGGTACTTAGAAATTAATATTTTATATTAAATTATATTTTTTCTTAAAAGAAAACCTATGCAGTGGGTTTGTAGTACTATATTTTTCTCGCAGTCAAAATCATCGCAGTATATCCTGAATTTGGGTAATAGAATCTACGTCGACGACTTTGTGGAACCGCGTCAGAGATTTGCAGCAATTGCTGAAGAGTTCTACAAAACGGAACTGAAGAAGATAGACTTCAACGACGCTCCTGCGGCCGCGAAGAGCATCAACGCTTGGGTCGCTAACAAGACTGAGGGAAACATACATAACTTGGTGAATGAAGGTACATCGCTAAATTAACTCTCAGGTAGCATAAGTACGTCAAAATACCTACCAATTCGTAGCACTAACTGTAAAATTGTTCCATTTTACCTTTAGATGACATCCAGAACGTCGTGGTACTTATCCTGAACACCATTTACTTCAAAGGCACGTGGCGTCATCAGTTCGCACCTAATGCGACTAAGAAAGGCCCGTTTTACGTGTCTGCCTCGCTACAGAAGCCAATCTTTTTCATGAATGTTAAGGACAAGTTCTATTACGCCGAGTCTGCGAAATATGATGCAAAAATCGTCAGAATGCCGTACTTGGTAAGTTGTTATCTTTTAAAACCGTAATTTGAATCTTCACACATCTTTGACAATTCGTCGTTTAGTAAACAATACCGCTCAAGTAAAAAATAAGCGGTTTATACTTTTGAACGTAACTCTTTTCCAAATAAAACACATGAATATTATTAAAAATAATATAGCCAATACAATGAAAGGTTTTCCAATAGCTTAAAAACTTCACTATCCTGTATATCGAATGACTTGGGTGGTGTTATTTTGCTAATCGACACATTTTATTTGAGTATTCTGATTACTATTTGTGGCAGGGTTATTGCTGATGCAGGATTTTTACACATCAGCGGATGCTGACTTAATGTAATTTAAAAAAAAAACGCGAAAAATGTACAATAACTGCCTCCGTGGCCGAATTGTGGCAAACATGCTGGACTGTCATGCAGTGGTCCGGGGTTCGATTCCCGGGTCGGGAGAAATATTTGTATGGCCTATATTTATTTCGCTCGTGACTTTGGGTGTAATTTGTAGTTGTCTATGTGTGTGTCCATGGCACACGCGATACACGGTGTCTCTAATGTGGGTAGTGTGTGCGTTGTTGTATTTATTCTTACTGAATCTATCTACATGAAAAAGCTTTCTATTTTCTTCCGTATAGTAATAAAATATTTATTTCAATGATTTTGCGACATTTATGAACAAAAGAATTAATCTGCATGAAAACAACTAATATCTTAATCGTTCTGGAATTTATTCAGAAAGTATAACACTTTAAAACGACAGCTGAGCTGCTTTTTTGGTTTACAGTACGTTTCTAGAATGATTGTAAATTATTCCAGCGTGCTTTTAGGTTATATCGCGACACGAACATCCGCAATTAATAACAGCATCGATGAATGCGAATATTTTAACTTGTGCAGATTATCCGCAGATGCGGATGCTGATATTCAACAACCCTGATTTGTACAGTATTTACATAGCTAACTCTGAGACAGGAAAGAGATTGGTGCTTGGCGCACTCAGAGATGAAGAAAAATCTAAGGAAATTGGAGTGTTTCTTGGCACATTTATTACAAAAGTTTTATTTATGTAGTAATACTAATTTCAGGGTAACAAGTTTGCGATGTATGTAATAGTACCGAACTCTTTGACTGGCCTGCCGCGCGTACTTGACGGTTTGAGTAACCTACGCGACGAGCTTAACTACCTCCAGGAGCACGTCGTCGACATCACGCTACCGAGATTCAAGTTCGACTACACTTCTTCGCTTGATGGCGTGCTTAAAGAGGTCAGTACCTTACAGTGGAGCCTTGTAAAGAGTCGGGACGTTTTGATTGTCTTAAGATCTCGACTACATATAGAACCATCGGTTTATGTGTTAGATGCAGGTCCACTTCTATAACCATTAGCACATCACTCTTTTTAACACCTATATTTGATGGATAAGATAGACATAACTCGCACTTAATCACATTCTATGTTTTCCTAATTGTAGGTTCCTTTAACTGTTAATGCTAATGAACTAAGTTTTAGTGAGGGCGAGAATAGTAATTGAGACGTTTCTCTTAAAAGGCTGCTAAATAGCTTTAAGATATACTACTTACTGCAAAATATTAATGCACTAAGTTCTTATATTGACAACATAGACATTTCAAGTTCCAAACGCCATTTGTTACGTGGACCTCACCAAACTGGCTTTGATATAAATGAAAAGAGTGACGTCACCACTTATCGACGATAAATGGTCTTGGAAATACCAACAACTTATTAATTGGTACATAATGATAATATGATTGATACGTACATATTTTTACCGTTGCTGCGCGAAGTTTTATGTGACATAATATATGTTTTTATGTACGTGTTATCTATCGTATATAGTTATAATTGTACATAATATCTGGCGAATGTATTTATTTGCTATAGCGTTAAATTGACTATGGTATTTTAATTACAAGAATTTAAATTTTTCTGCACCCTAGTGCCGAGTCAATTTTAATAGAAACTGATCCACATAGTATGTATATACTATAATATACGAGTTGCTAAGCGTTACGGAAATGCTATTAGTATTTTTGGGGCGTATCAAATCAATGAAAATCTTTAAACACTAGCGCAGACTTAAGTGCAATTAGAAATATAATATTCAGACATGCTATGTAGCCGGCTCTACCCGACCAATTACTGATAGATTTCGAGATTAGATTTTTTTTAAATATAGTCATTTTTCACCAGCTGGGTATACGGCAAGCCTTCGAGGATACGGCGTCATTCCCAGGTATTTCGCGAGGGCAATCCCTACAACAGCGTCTGCGCATCACCAAAGTTCTACAACGATCCGGTATCGAAGTCAACGAACTCGGAAGCATCGCTTACTCTGCAAGTGGTACGTTACTGAGTTCTATGAAGAGAGCTCACACGTTGTAAATTGCAGCAAGAGACGAGAGGGTTATTTGTGGCTATCAGCAAAAGTGGTGTAACGTACATTTAATTAATTATGTTTTTCTACTTATCCCGTCACGCATCCTAGAGACACAAGTGTCCCTAACGCTCCTGATTTTTTTTTATATTTTTTTATAAATACATTTTTTTAATAGTGGATGAAAACACACCGTGTAGCCACATGTGGTATGGCTCTAGGGCGCTACTGTACCAAAATCGTGAGTGTCTAAAGGACGCGAGAAAGATTTTTTAATAATTTTTTTTTATAACATCAAGTGACGGGACGAACAAGTCATGCGGCTTATGGTAAGCTACACGCCTGTCCATAACAGTTACAGTGCCACTCAGAGCTTGTATGGTACTAAAGTTCATAATATATTTGGATGCATTTTCACGTATGAAAATGTTCATTATTATGTATTGGTTATACTTGATTACCATGTGTAAGGTGAATTTGGCTAATTTTAAATCCCACATTATCTTCTATATGCATTTCATGGGGTTACAACACTTTCGCGCTGATAGCCTTATTTAGACTATTCTCATCTGTATGCATTGTTTTGAATCTATTTCACATGTAGGAAGACCTCGTCGTTTTATTGCTGTTAAATTAAATGGCAGCCATATAAATTGCACACGATTCGAAAAAAGTGATGCAGGCCGGTATTCTAGCTCACACTCTACGCTTTATGCTTCTTTCTTATAAACCCGTAGTATGTAAAACAATGTTTTTTTCGCAGAAATATCGCTAGACAATAAATTTGGGGGAGACTCTGATATGGAGCAGGAGGTGGTGGCGAACAAGCCTTTCATGTTCTTCATCCAAGACGAAGCGACGCGCCAGTTGTTGTTCACGGGGCGCGTGTCGGACCCTTCGCTGTCAGATGGGACCTTTAAATCACCGTAACTCTAACTCGAGGTTCATCTATGCAAAATCGTATTTAGAGTATACAAGCTGTAAGAAGTAAATGAATAGATTCTTAATCTACCTCGACAATCTTATTAGAGTCCATGCCACCCAACAGTAGTAACACGATATTGAGTGGTACAAAGGCACACATATTATAGTGTAATTTGCATTTGCATTACTTGATGATTGCTTGTGTAACTGATACCTTTTACAAAATTTGAAAATTAACTTATTAAGGCAAGCAACTTGCAAATCGCCATAAAAAGTTGCCGTCTCGTAATATCTTAAAGATCCGAGACGACTTTATTTTATTAAACAAAACAAAACGATTGATAAGCAATATAACACTTGACTACATTGAATTACACAACGGTAACTACATCTAAGTAAAAAAATACTAAATCAATACTTATAAGTGACAATATTTAATATAAGAACTTGATACAAGTTACATACTGCTACTATAAAATTGAGCATCATAGTTTCGAATTAAATGTCTATGTACTCATAGACATTATATAATAATAATGAGTTTATGTCTAACACATGGTTTTGCCTCCTATGCATGTACGTTATGAAATTGCTTTGTAGTGTTGTAGATTATTTAAAGTACAAAAACAGTATCACCTTAGAATATTGTGCCAAAACGTATAAACCTACCACGTATTATTTTTGGTTTTTCTCTTTAAATTTTTTTTGCAGCGCAGATTTTTTTTCAAAAAAGCTGTTACTACTGCTTATATTTTTACTTTTCTGTATTTTAATAATATTACTTTTTTCTATTTATTAAACCAGGTGCCTGTAATAAATCTGTTTTAAGATGCATACCTAATTAATATAGTTTTCAGCATTTCTTTCGTAAAACTTTATAATTTTTAAGTAATAACATTATTGTCGACATTGTTTTGATGTTTAATTTCTAGAACTCTATTTTAATTTATACCTCAAACCCTTTTAAGTAAAGAAATGCCTAATTATCGACACGAGTCCTGGTTGTTTTTACTAGGGTTTTCAATCTCACTGGATTTCCGCGTTACGGGGAAAAATATGTATTACACAATAAGTTAAGTAAAATGTATGCACAATAAAATCTTAAATATACTGGAAAGTAAAATTAGGATTATATTATATTTTGAAAGTTATCTTTCATTTTTATAGGAGGCAGTTACGAAACAAAGGCCGTTTAGTACACTTTCAGATGTAGAGGACCTGATATTGTTACTATCATTCTTTAACCTCCACAAATTTTACTAAACTGCACTCTACAGTGTTGCCACCACGTCCATGTATCCAGAATAAATCTAACTGATGGTTTAGTAGATTTTTATAATTTTTTAATTAAGTGAGTTTTCGAAAGTCTCGATATTCTAGTATACACATATATATGGGTGTTTGTATATAAATAGTCTGAAAACATGAATCGCGAGTCTAGTTTTGCCAAAAAATTGGCGAAAGTCCTGGTTTTCACACCGTTCGACAAAAGTTGTTGAAGCTTTAGTCTTGTTAATCTCGACTCTAGTTATAAACTATTGAGGGCGTTCGTTCGGTTTACCGACTTCCCCACAATGTGGTGACCGATTTCCGAATTAAATTCAATTTAAATTCACCTGTCACATATGTCAAATATGTAAATGGAAAATTTGAGGAAAACGTAATATGTTCTCTTCAAAGTAAATAAGACGTGTATGTGTGTGGGTGTTTTCTTATTTTTGCACTAGTTGCCGCTACCAGGAAGTAGGAGTATACAAGTTAGCTATCAGTCAATGTTGACAGATGGGTATTTGCCGCTTGCGTGTGCCATGTCCAGGAAATGAGTAGAAAAAATTGGTCATGTTTTTTATAATAGAAATTTATCTTTGTCGTAATCATCAAACATTTATCCGATTGAAAAAAAAAAATAAGAATTACGTTTTTACAAATTTAATTTAAAGCACATCATAGACCAAAAGCGCTGTATAATCCGCATAAGTAAACTTCTCACAGTTTTTGAGGCTTAGCGAGCACAGGTCATTTATGTAGACTAGGAAAAGGGTAGGGCCTAGAACGTTTCCTTGGGGTACGCCGAAATTCAGCACCTCATCGTCACTATTTGTAAAATCAATTTTGACACTATGAGTGAGTCCAGACAAGTAATCGGTAAAAAAATTCAGTGCGTGAAAATATACGAATGTTCCATAGCTTTTCTGTTTATTCTGTTATTTACAGGCTTTACACGCTTAAAAATAAGAAAAAAACATTTAACGTAATTACTAATAATCCTACCGAACTTTGGGATGTAAGTTTATATCATTTTACATTCCATTTAGCTTATTTATACTTTTATTTCAGATGGCACTTCTTTCATACAGAGAACAATTAAAATAATATAACCCTATTAAATTTGGAACTATGAAAAGATGTCATAATGAACGCCCTACGTCTAAAATAACACGGACAATTATGATGTCATCTATAATTTAAAGCGAACATAGATATTTAAAAAAAATTACGTTAAATTAATAATGCTTCTTTCATATTATCCATATTTTTTAACACAAAAGAATATTTTTGTTGAAAATGAATCCCGCGTGAACTCTGCTTTACAATTTTGTTGTGTTACCGCACCGGCAAAAATACTCAGCCTGACCTATAAAGGCCCATGTAGATGGAGAAAGTTTATCGCACGCTTCGTGACGAAAATTCGTACGCGATTATCGTAAGCAAAATCGCCATAAGATTATAGTATCATAATGTTTACATAACGCCTACGATTATGTCATACGAGATTCGCAAGCAACTTGATCGCCTCCTCGACTGTTTACACAGAATAGTATGTAGTAAGAAGATTGTTGCTTACGAGTTTTCGACTTGTCTAAACACGATCTCGTATGACATTTTTTCAAGTTCATACGATTATTGTACAAACTTAGAATAATAACGCATAGAATGATAGTTTAATAAAAAACGAACTGTCACAAGTGAGGCAAAAATCAAATTCATGTAGGCGTAAGCAACTTGTATTTACGCTCGTCGGCACGCACACAAATATACAAATAATGATGCCATGGAATAACATTTCCCTCAAAAGTGGGGAAATTGTATCTTGCTTAACTCATCGTTAAGTTAGAGGTGCCTACAGATTTGCTCGATTTTGTCGATCGTTACTGTCGACCAGGTGCCTACAGATATGCTCGATTTTGTCGATCGTTACTGTTGATCGACAACGTCAAGTGACAGGAATTTTCAAAAATTTATTTTTGGTAATCCTTATTGAAATGGCATTTATGTCTGAATACACGAAGGCGGACACGACTTTTCTCAATTTCTAAATCCAAGATGGCGGACACGTCTTTTCGAATAAATGCAATATGGGAATCGTTTTCGAGGTATTCGAGGTGCTCATCACGAATATGGCATTTATTTCTAAATCCAAGATGGCGGACACGACTTTTGAAATAAATGCAATATGGGTATCATTTTTGAGGTATTTGGGGGTGCTCATTAGGAATATAGCACTTATTTCTAAATCCAAGATGGCGGACATGACTTTTCAAATAATAGCAAGTTGGGTGTCGTTTTCGAGGTATTTGGGGGTGCTCATTAAGAACATGGCACTAATTTCTAAATCCAAGATGGCGGGCACGATTTTTCGAATAATGGCAACTTGGGTGTCGTTTTCAAGGTATTAGGGGCTGCTCATTCCGAATATAGCACATATCTCTAAATCCAAGATGGCAAAGAATTAGAAGAAGAAGAATTAGAAGTCTTGTCCCCCATCTTGTATTCAGATATACATGCCATTTCGTTATGGTTTACCAAAAATACATTTTTGAAAATTGTTGTCAACCATCTTGGATTTAGAAATTAATGCTACATTCATAATAAGCACTCTAAAACTCCTCGAAAACGTCTATAATTCTCAATCGTTACTGTCGATCGACAATGTCGATCAAATCTGTAGGCACCATATTAAATACTACCCAATTCTTATTTAACTCATATGTAAACAAAAACCTACAAGCGAGTTTAAGTGCGACTATCGAATTTGAATATATAAATAGCCTGATATTATCTGTGGGTATGTTTATATGAAAAGTACACGATAACAATTAAGAACCTGAACCTGAAAGTTATTTATACACGATTTTGGAGAACTGACGATGACTTTTTAGTCAGTGTTAGTTTCCTGAAATAATTTTAGTTAAGAACTTTTGAGTCTGCGCAAGACATATTTTTTAAATGAGTGTATGATGAACAAGAATAATGATTTTTCACATGAAACTAATGAAGGCAAATATTAAATATATTTCGTAAAAATACTTAACGTAAATTCCCTACAATGTTGTTGCGGCGGTGTACATTTGTAGAAATTTTGCAACCGTCGCGATATTGCCTATTCTCAAAAAATTACGTAATATAATTATTTTGAAACAGAATAGCAAAATGAGGAGATAAAACCCGTTACTTTGCAACATTTTCGTATCTTGTTGCAACGAAATTAATTGTCTGTTTTAGTGAATATTTACATAAAAATACAAGTTGAAACGCGTTACTTCCTTGTGGAATGTGATGTTAGTGTCTATTTTATATTTGTCTGATCTATTTTTAAACCCAATTACCGCACATTTCGTCATTTTTAGCAAAAATTTTTGAGCTGCTCGCGGTGCAACTTGACCTTGAGCACTGACAGCCCGCTACAATTTGCCTCACTTAGCGTGTGCGGGCTAGGTTTCTATGCGTTATTATTCTAAGCGTACAAATCGGTTCGAGCCGTTTTGAGTGCGAGAATTGCCATTCGAGTTCAGTGATTACTGCGGTATTGACTATGGACATATCAAAATGACGCAAGAATCATTCAAATTTGGAACTGCTGATAATAGTAAGTTCATTGCACTGTATAGAAATATACATTTTTTTTTCAAATTTTTTAACATTTAATTCAAAATTTTTTTTCGTTCTCGTTTCATTAATTCTTGTCTTAGAAAAGCAGTGATAATCAAAACACGTGGTAGAAACGTGGCAGAACGATTTTTGCTTTCAAGTTCTGTTTACACGGAGACGTTCAATATTCAAAGGCGAGGCGATTATCGCTCACGTCGACTGTCGATAATCGCAAATGTTTAGTCGAGGAAAGTTTTTTATATTCTTTCGATAATCGTATCTTCGAGATGATAAACTCTCTCCATCTAAATGGGCCTTAAGCATCGACGTTACTATGCTCAGACTATATAAATGCTAGCGTCTCACAAGGATCAGTGCTATCACCCATATTGTATTCCTTTTATTTCATCGAAGTTTTATGTTGTAAGTTCATAATTTTCATTTCTACATAATACAATCATCTATTGTATAGGATACACGTCAAAGAGTTTGCAACAAATGTGATTCTGATACAGTTATTACTCTATGACACAAAATATAGCAGTTTAAAGAATTACACTAGAGAAAAAAATTCTTATTCCTGACAACATTAATGAACAGTACCATAACAGTACCTTGTATACTTTATTAAATCACCTAAAAATACCTTC